CATTCCTCGCGGTCTTAACATGTCCGGGGGTGGTGGAGCAAGGCGTCCCATTAATGGTGGTGGCTTCATAATAATTCCACGACCTTTCCCTTTCGGTATTCCTGATTTACCTCTTCCACGACCTCGTGCAAGACCCATACGACTTCTAGCAATCACAATTACGACAGCTCCACCTCCACAAAATGGCAGAGCTTCACTTCCGTTGGCGTCTTTGTCTGACAAATACGATCGAAAGTACAACGTTGCAAATCCTTCCCGTTGTAATCGAGTAAGGTACCAACGTCCAACGTAACTTCAATAAAACTTCTCTGTGTTCCACAAATTTACACATGTATATGACAAGGATTAGTTACAATTTTCATCATTACAAATTAATATGGATTAATACTAATTACTGTACAGATTAATGCTATTATACTCTTATTTATATCTCTTATTATTTATTTTAATAGTATTCCCGTAAGAATTTCCCTATAACACGAAATGGAACTTCCTCTCTGGAATAGCTTGATCCAAGTTGTATTTTGTCCATGGTATGAGTCCATATGACTCATGAAAATGAGTTTAATATAAAGAATAGCTAATATCATTTATCGAAATAATGTGTCTCTGAAATAAACTGGACAAAAACAGCTGTGTAATTATACGTAATAACCTTTTATGTGAACTGCAAAGAACAGTGAAGGTGTAATGGCGCTTGCCCGATATTGTCGTTAGTTGCCATGAAGTTGTCTAACCTTATGTACAAGTTTACCCGTTGTTTCTTACTTAAAGTCAATGAAATATTTAGCTTGTCTCACAACATACAAGGTCCGAATTTTGGAGAGATGCCATTCCCACTACAAATTTATCAGTAATAATTGTACTTTTACACATGAATTCTCTGTAAGAACGAATATGTATTAATCAAATGTACACCGATTTGGTGAAACAGTGATAGTAGCTTATGTCAAAATAAAGCGCTGAAAATGTATGCATTCTTAATTCAGTTGAACCATATTAGACCCGTTTAAATGTCTTAATAGTTCTATTTTCTGTTGGTGTAAGCAACAGATGGTGCCATACTCGGAATATATTTCAATTTTGTCTCTTCGTTTGTATCAAAGATAATCTCAATCCAGTTCAGTGTGAGTGTAGTAATTATTAGTAATGTGGCATATAGATTGCACTATAACAGTTTATGTCCCCATGAAATAAAGCTGTAATCACGGTTCCATCCCAAGGATTCCATTTTCTGTTGTAATAGTTGGAAGAATGGGCATTAAATTTCACTTTTATTTTGCAGCCAAACAGTGCAAATTATCAATAGTAATACTCAGCTACAAATTGGAATGATACGGAAAGGTTTTTCATCAAACAAATGTCGTTTATGTGGTTTCAACAAATCACAAGGACTAAATGTGTACAGTGCTTCAGCGAAACGTGAAGGACTGTTATTGAAAATCAGCAAACACTTACCTAAAGAGGTGAATGTGACTAGGTACTTTGTTTTTGTTATAAAGCACAAGAACATTATTAGTAGCTACAGAAATAGTTTACAATGTCATTGCCACAGTGAAACCTCTATGTGTAAATATTCATATTTTACAGGGGAAAGAATACAAGAAACAATTTTTGATATTCATAAACTATGTCTTGACATTTATTTTACTACGTTATGTTTCATAATTAGTTAATCTTTGGACCTGTGGCTATACTGACAAACTACCTTATTATCATGAATATCAAGTGTGTGTAAAATTAGTCTTTATCAAAACTACATTTATTTTTGTTGTGTCATATGATAAATGTCTTTGTAGGTACAGTTAGTTCTTTGTTAAGGATTACAATGCTAAGAATTTCATTTTGCATGATCTTGAGTCATAGTCCTACACTGAGGCCGAATTAAATGGTTAGGATCCACATTCACTGTTGCTTGTCATAGCAGTAGTTTGATTATGGCGATATCTTAAATTGTGTATATTGCTAACTTTATCACATTACTTAAGTCAAACTAAAATGAAGTCTGTTTGTATCTTTATTTTTAGAATGTCATATGTCTTCAGGTTGTTCATATTGTGGCTGGAGATGGTCTTCCAAAATTCATCTGTACCGACTGTAGTTCTGTAACATGGTCCAAGATGTGCAAAAGAGACTTCGGGAAGAAAAATTTGAGTTTTCTCAGGTGAGTAAATTATCTTCATTGCTTTAAAAATTTGAAAGTAGAAAAGAATCAGTGGGAAACCCTATTCATGTAAGTACCGTGACACTGTTACAGCAGATTTTACACTTAGGGCAATGGTAGCAGTGTGATAATCAGGAAGTGAACTGCTGCACGTGGCAGTAAACTTGAAATGTTTCTGTACATGTCACAAATTATTTCATTGCTGTAACTGCTTTCGTTCATTAAATTCAGCAAATTTTATATTTGTATGCTAAACCACTTCACCAGAATTAAACACTATATATTTTCAGGAGGTGTCGGTTAAAAGTAAGGTTGAGTTGACTGTAGCAGGAACTACATTTCACCCTAACAAAACTTCACTTGGCTGTGGGCAAGATGACTCCGTAGTTACAGTCAACATAGGACCTGATGGCAAAGTGGAATGCATGTTGTGTCGGACTTACCTGGAAGTGGTCAGTCACACGACATTGCACATGGTAACGCACGGCATTGGCACTGTAATCTGTCGCTGTCGAGCGTGCGGTCAGCAGGGTGAACTGGCGCAGTTCCTTCGGACAAGTAGCATAGGAGAAGTTGCAAACACCGTATGGTGCAATGGTTGTCACTCCGCTAACAAGCTAAAAGGTTCCCCAAATGATGACGGCAGCTCTCCGTGTGGTCGCAAAGCATACGTGTGCGAAGTCTGCTCCAAGTCGTTCCGTTCCAACGGCCATTTGGCAAGGCACCACCTTGTACACAGTGGAGCAAAACCATTTCTCTGTGAGGTGTGTGGTACGGGGTTCAGCCAGAGCTCCAGTTTAAAGTTACATGTTCAGAGTCATTCTGGCCTTAATCCACATAAATGCCCGCACTGTGGCCAGACGTTCCGGTTTAGGGTATCTCTTCGATCTCATATCCTCAGTTTGCATGTGTCTCCTTCATCAACTTCCTCACCTGCAGCAAAAAATGGTGACTATGGATGTGATCGCTGTGGAAAGCAGTTTGCCACTGTATATAAATTACATCGTCATTACAGAAGTCACACAGGAGAGCGACCATATGAATGTACTCGCTGTGGAAAACTCTTCTCACAGACTGGAAACCTCAACCTTCATCGGAGGATGCCGTTGCAGGATGTCTTTCCACGTCACCAAGTTTTGACAGTTCTATTGTAAGAAAAAGTCAACTCTCTAATATGATGTTGGGGAAACAGGTCACAGCATCTTATGGTGTTCCACTAGTGTCTGAGCAGCGTGACAGATCGCAGTACGTCCCAGAGAGTGGAGAAGTATTGGTGGCTTCTCACGATTCAAAGTTCCTTGAAACAATTCTTCAGCACGATGGTCTATCAAACTCTGGAAATCCTTTGTCATCAATAGACACTGTATTACTAAACCCAGCAGACAAAGTTTCTGATCACACATCCCAGTTTGTGGCCCTAAATTCAGAGTTTAATACAGAAGCAATTGAGCACAAGAACTCCACAGAACTCTTCAGCACACATTTTAGCCCTGAGGGTCTTCTGTTTATTGATCAGACACCAGAACTTGAAGAATCAACTTCTAATTCTGAAGGCGTTTCATTGCCAACATTTTCAAGCCTGCAGTCTGGAACATCCAGTTTACCACACTGACAGTGGGACCAACAGAAATTGTTGTATTAATGATACCACTTTACTTGTCTTTGTTACGAATGAATGGCAGCAAAATAATGACAATAAACAGCACTATGCAGATAGTGGCATAAGAACCCTATAAAGGATTTCCATTGATTTCTGAAATGTATATTTTTGTTATTTAAATTCATTGGTCTTTTAAGGCCAGTGCTAGGATCATATCATGTTCCTTACTATTCCTGTCCCCTTCATGCTGTGACAGTGAGATGTTCAATAGCAGATGCAGTTGTTGGCATCACCCATCAAATACTTCAGTTAACACGGATCATTTTCACACCAACCAGTCAGAGGCAAAATGGTAATTTTCACCATGATGATTCAGTACGATCAGAATACTTCAGGTTCATAGTTATCAAATTTGGGCCATGAAAGTGTAGTCAGGTCCAGGCATGAAGCTAATTTGTCCGAGTGTACATTTACCAAAAATATTATGTCCTTGCTCTGCAGACATATCAGTGACTGATTGTAAAGATATTTCTGAACACGGGACACGCAGAGGTCATGTAAGTGATATGCAAGAATGTATTATCAAATGTCAGACTCATTAGTATCAAAACAAATGGTTAGGATAATAAAATAAAATTACAAAATGAAGATCTTATAGTTCTCTTTGGATAATTCAGATACATTGGGCATGTACTGGAGTTAGGAGGATCTTGGAAAATGTCCACCTGGAAGACCAAAGTAAAATATATCTTAAGAAAAGAGTTCATGGTGATGTGGACTAGACTGAGCGATATCTGAAACTGATCGTTTCTTAATCGCTTGTTTGTGTATTGGTCGAGGAGACTACGTATTATCCCATACACATTGCCAGTCTACAAGTCATATAGGTGATCTTTAGGTTGATAGTGCATGTACATAAATTAAAACTAATGTAGATGATGTTTTTTGGGGGTTCTGACACCATGTGGACTGGCTGGCATAAGCCATTGCTTTGGGAAAGTGCACTGCCTCTGCCTTCAAAGCTGAAGACGGAGGCAGTGCACTTCTCCGAAATGTTGCACCTACCGACCAGTCTACGCAGCACCAGAATCCAAAAGAACGTCACCATCATTGTCACTGTCTTGAAAACCTCAATCTCACAAGTAATTTAGTCTGGAAAACTCTATGTTGATCTGTTCATAGAATAGTATAAGCTACACAAAGTGAATTATGGGCAGAATGTGGGTGGAACTTACGGGTGCACGGGACTTCTGTTTGTACAGAACAGATCCTAATATGTGGTTGGTTGTGAGTACAAGAGGTTTTGTAATTATGAGATCACCAACTTTCAGTTCAAATAACACTGAAGGCACTGAGAACGGAAATTATTCTTCCTTGTTTTCAAAGTTCCATGACGTCGTCTTCAGCAAAGAACAAATACTGCCTCATCCACATTAATATTTTTAATTTAGTTCTATATTGTGATACATGTAATTAGAAAGTAGGAGACAAAATGGAAGATTATGTATTTCACCCATTTTTTGATATTAGAACCAATTTTATAAGCATTTTTCCAAATTTTATTAAGTCTCATTTAAGTGAGGTTTCTCTGTGTCTAGTCTTCATGAGAGGTTTAACCTATTTTTAGTTTATTTTAATGCGTATGCTTTAGTTATATCTGTTGAAACAGTGAAAGAATTTAAGTTCCTTGTCTGATTAAATTTTATTTTAAAACCAAATAAGTTTACAAGATTCCAAATACATCTGTACATAATAAAATCAAAAACATACAAATGAATATGGAAGTTCATATCTGAATTGAAATTCTGTCAAAGCAACACTGTTTACATGTCATAAAAGCATGGATAATCTGAACATCGCAAATATGTTAAATATAATGTGTGAGTTTTAAATCTAGAAGCAGAAAAATCAACAAAGCTCAATTTAATCACAGAGGTTATAACATTTTTCCAAGAAAGAGGTATATAAGCAGTTGATTTAGCAGTAACCAGATCCAGTTTATCTTAACCTTTAACTTATGAGAGACCCATATGCTGAGCTTCCTTGCTTCAGTATGGATGTTTTCTGTCTTCTTTTTCTTTTCTATACTCGTTTGATGACATGCTTTGTGGCTTCAAAGCCTTCCAGCACTCCTTAATATTCACAGTTTGTATTTCTTATGGTACACTTTGAAACACTCGCCAGTACAGGGCCCTACATCACATTGCTCTCTTTGCATTTCATTTGTGCACTCTGCTGTATCCATACAGAACTGATGTGTCAATTCACTCTGGAGGAATGAATTGGCTAGAGATTGCTGAAGTTTACCTTGAACCAAGTAACGTTTCTCTCTATGGCAGGTGGTCGCCAATGGGATGATGATATGGTTAACTCCCAAAATTGTCAATCAGTTTCATGCGAGGGTAATTCTTAAATTTCTATGTACTGTCACGAAACCACACAATGTCAGAAGGAGAAAGCTGTTCACATCAGTCATGTCTAACAGGTGGACAAAAGGTTTTTGTCCACTTCCGTGTACACCATCGGACTGAGTAACTTTTGGCCAATCTGTCATCCTTGTCAACATATCCAATACATTAGTCACAATCCTGTACAATTCATGTTCATCACAAAAATTATCTTCTGTTGCTGGTGGACTTCACATATTTGTACAGATCATGTTTATCTCTCCAGACCATTGCTGTAAATTCATCTGTTGTTCTGGACCACTTATCACCACGTTTCAATGGTTTGGTGGTGGTAGGTCACTTGGCATTCCATTTCTCCTAGGTCATCCTATTGAGCAATAGCTGATTTTTTGTTTGCTCAGATTGCAAGAAAAGAAAATGTCCATGTCTTTCTACCTTTCTGCAATTGCTCGTGTCATGTCCTTCCCTAAATAGACTTCTACGTGCAGTCTGTCATGTCACATAAATTATAAATTTTGATTCCAAAACATTAGTAATAATAATAATAATAATATTTTGAGCAAGAATTATTTATCAAGTCAAAAAGACATCTGTTTCCATACTCTGTCATAGTACAGGTCATTTCTGTCAGTGGCATTATCACTGTTTGAAAAGCGTATGAACTGAATAATGTGAAAGACGCCTGTCACGTTTGATTGCTATGCTATAAAGACGCGTAAGGAACTGTTCAATAGTCGACCAGGCTATTGTGTACATCATGTCCCATTTGAACAATAATCACCTAACTAACTAAATAGATGGCATACCGAACCCGAAGGTTCATCACCGAATTAACCAAAGCCCTCCACTGGACCCTGTCTCCTTCAACTCCTATCTCCCATAGATCCCACCTGACATTATCCTCCAATCTACGTCTAGGTCTCACCAGCGGTCTCTTCCCCTCAGGCTTGCCAACCAATACCCGGTGCACACCTCTTGTCCCATCCATGTGCGCTACATGCCCAGCCCATCTCATTCTTCTCGACTTAATCACCCTGACAATACTGGGAGAGGAGTACAGATTTTTAAGCTCATCATTATGCAGTTTTCTCCATGCCCCATCGTCTTCCCTCTTAGGCCCAAATATCCTCCTCAACACGCTGTTCTCAGACACCTGCAATCTGTGTTCCTCCCTCTCAGTAAGAGACCATGTTTCGAACCCATACAAAACAACAGGCAAAATTATTGTTTTGCATACTTTAATTTTCAGGTTCACCAAAAGCAGAAATATTTCAGTAATTTCAAGAAGAAGAGAAGGTTCACTGTGTAGTGTGTCCAAGTAATGGTGGTAAGATCTGCTGGTCTCCACCAGCAGAGTGATAACAGATGTAAAATATAACATTGAAAATGCTGTATGTAGTTGAGTCTCGTTGATAAGGGGTGTCACTAGTGAACTGGTGAGCACTCTTGTTTGGCCTGTCAGTTGTCCCCACTTGGACACCCCTTTGGATGCAAATGGGGGTGGTGTTATCTCGTCATCCTTGTCAGATCTTGTCTTGAGTATGCCCATGGCATCCCTGTGCATCAATCCATCTTCCTTGGGTCAGGGTGGAATTAGGAGTTGTTCTGTCAGGTCACCTTCCTCCTTGACTGTTTTGCCAAAGTCCCCATCTTATGCGCCACAGTCAGTGTCTAGGATACATTCAGTCTTATCCCTAGTCATCCTTTCGTATCCTGCTCGTGGATGGCGTGCCTTGTCCTCCCTCTTAGCCGTGCGGTTGCGCTGAGTGCAAGTACAGGAGCGAAATAAACGGTTCTCGTCTCAACATAATGCAGTTCGATGTTGTCATTAGATTACATCAGCTGAATAATTAGTAATATTTTCCCCTCGGCTATGAAACAGTGCACACAGGCCACGTTTCAAATTCTCGGACGAACCGTGTCACAATGGATGGCACAGAATAAAATTTATTGCCCAGAATAGACACAAAGCCTTTGATCCAACAAATGAATTGCTGTGGCCCCTGAAATTTGTACACAATTTTTACTTTTCTGATTATTGTTCATAAAATCTTTCTGTGATGAGAAACACCAACAAAGAATTCTGATAAAAACTATTTATTTCGTTATAAGGCTAGAATGTTTGCGCAGACCAAATAAACAAGCTAGGTACAAGTAGAATTTGATGTTTTGATGGCGGCGAATACAAAGATGGCTGTCTTCTTGGTTGCGGTCCTGTGTATTTCTTTTTAATTACCGTGTATATCACGACTATGGAGGCCATCAAATTTAATTTATTTTTAAGCCTTTGCATTTATTTTATTTCCTTTGTATTAAAAAATGACAGGTGCTCAGTTGATTTCTGTGTTTTGACCAAAATTAAATTAAATTATTATTACTATTATTGTTGTTATTTTTATTACATAATGTCTTTAGAATGTCCAATTGACAATCTGACCAGTAGCTTTTTCATATTCCTGCACAAAATTCTGTTTTATTCTTCTGTGCCAGCAAACTGACCAACAGGCAACTGACTGTTATCTTCAGTGTTTCCATTACTAGGGGTTGCCCTAAGAAATATGAATTTTCCAAACAACTGTACTCGCAAATCTTCTGGGGGACTCTGCTGCCATGGAAGGATAAAACATCTTTGTGTAAGAATGTGAAAGCCATTGGTCAAATTGTCAAGGATGCATTCTTAGAAGGTGTTACATTATAATAATTTAATTTAATGCTGAGAAAACCAACTGCACTCCTATCATTTTCAAAAGTGAATAGCAGAATAAAGAAAATAAAGTAATTCAAGACTTAAAAAAGGATTTATTTTGGAATGGAACAAGGGCTGGCCACGCCATAAGTAAGTGCACTACCAACTGAGCTATCACTGACAATGTGAAAACGCTACCCTCATGAGAATATGAAGTAACAGCGAACAAAGAGAAAAAAACTGCATTTTTTTAAGAAACAGCGGAGTGTCTACGCCTAATATTTTAGTCAGGAAGTCAGAGGGGCATCTGCCGACATACTGCAAGGCTGGAGCCGAATTGGAGGGTAACAATTGACCAGGTCCTCTTGTGTGTATATAAAGACTGATTATTACACAGGTAAATGGGTTCATTCTCAATAAAAGAGTTTCTAACTTGGGAATTCAATAAATATCCTGCACTTTGAGTCTGTTTAAATGCCAAGTAAATCTGTATGTATGTGCAGACCCCAGGAATTTAATCGCCGTCTGCTAAATACTGAAACAAACATGCAACCAACATTTCCTATTTGAGTTTCTGAAAACTGTAATTATTTTAAATGAGCCACACAGTTGCAGCTAGTATGGCGTTCTTTTACGTATTTTTACTATTATAACTGTTCTTACATGTAACAGTAGACATGGCAAGTTACAGAGAATGGCCCAACCAAAGTGTTCATCTATTGTTAAACACTAATTAGACTCAATACTACGCAAAGCAGCATCATTTCCTTTTTAATGTCATTAACTAAAAAAGATACTCTATAATGTTAAAGTAAGAAAAGTCAGTCAAAATAATTCCATATACTGATAGGAAGCCGCGTCTTTCTCGGGCGCGTCCTCTTGCGAAGGGCGGCAATGAGTCGTAAAGAGTGCTCGCTACCTCAACACCTTCAGCTTCCCCGTGTTGGTCCCATATACAAGTCCCTGTCCTGGACCTGGTGCCCACCGGATGCAATTAAGACTCATGTAGCCTTGCTCCCGGTCTTGGTCGATATCACGAACATGACACAGGCGGCCACGCGCGCCGACAGCGCGGCCCGGCACGCCACCTTCCAATCGAAAGATCTGCGCCATGGTCTGCCGGTCTGCCGGCAGCAATGCCACGCGCCGCGATGCCAAACCGACCAGTAGGTGACGACTCGCGGGCGACAAACTCACCGATACGGCATTTTGCTCAAAACTTGTTGTGTACAGACATTGACCCAAAGACTCCCACTCCAGACTGTAAACTCCTGCGACAAAAAGTTGCATGCACAGGTTCTAGTGTGACGCACCATGGGAGTATTAAGTATGTGACTATGTAACATAAGTGTTGGCTGGTTGTGATAAGTTCTTAAGACCATTACTAGACTGCAGCCAATGTAAAAACTCTTATTCATTCACTGTTACCTACCTATTTTCTTATTAATCTTGTTATTCACAAATCTGCCTAAACTAACTGTTACATCTTCCATTTCTCAATAATGCTTCTCTAAAAATGGAACACAAAGATAATACAAAATCTAATTACTGTGCTAATTACAGTGTCTTATGTTGCTATTGAATCAGACATATTTAACTCTTCTGGCAAGTGTCCCTTTCATAAATTGTTTGTATGCATGCTAATTCAAACTGATATGGCAAATTACAAAATGTTTTCAAAAAAGAAGGTTAAAAACCCCAGTGCCATACAAATAGTTTCAAAGTTCCAATGTAACTTCCATACCTAGCATAGCAGTACTGCTCAGACGCCCTGTGGGGAGAAGAGTTACCAAAAGATGACCGTCATTAGACACATCGACACTAGCATCATTGTGGATCTTGCATTCAGCAACTATTACATTCTTCTCCGCTGAAAAAAAATGTGCCAGACATTATTTAACACAGTAACAGATGAAGGGAAGCATGTGTACGAGTATTTGAGCATCTTGAATCTGATGTACATGCAAAGGACAAAATGATATGGTAACTTAGGCAATGACATATGAAAGCTTGTCACACAGAAGTATCCATATTGTAGCGAGGTCTGAAATCAACATCACTGAACAAAAACAACCAGCAACATCACGAGCCCCCAGTGCTTAAAGTATTATTAAATGTGACTAACGCTTGTCATTATTGAGTTCAAAATCTTTTATCCTCCTGTATACAATCTTTAAAGATATAACAACAAATAGTACTAAAAAGGCTTAAATTTATAAAACTATAAAGTTATCTAATGCTATGTATGGGTGCGAAACCTGGTCAATCATCCTGTAAAAAGAACAGAAACTGAGTGTGTTCATAAACAGAGTGCCAAGGAGTACAGGTGGGCCCAAAGGACAGGAAGTAATATGAGACTGGGAAAAATTGCAGGAGGAGGCTTTACCATCTCTACTCTTTATAAATATTATTTGGGTAGTCAAATCAAGAAGGATAAGAGAGGTGAGCCACATAGCATGCACACAGAATTTCAATCAGAAAACATTAAATAGAGACACCTCCTCAAAAAGGAGTGCTGCCTGGACCCCCCACAACTTTGATTGCGTGCCGTGGTATTCACTCACCGTTGCTGATGTCAGGTATACTGAGTCTGGAGAAGTCCCACGCCTGAATTCTGTGGTTTGGTGACATAGGAGCATCAGTTATGATGAAGGAATCTGAAAAGAATTCTGATTAAGATTAACACAGTATTAAGTAAATACAAAGTTCCTATACAGTTAGGATTTGTTTCTTTGTTACTTAGAATAATCTGTATCTCAACTTTGATGACATAAGCAGCTGAATTTCTGAAGCAGAGAGGAAAATCTTGCAGACACCTAAAGTGGCAGTACAAACTGTGCAGGTATCTTAAAAATCCAGACACCTGAAGGCATTCCTTTCCATTCATCTGTACAGCGTAAACTAAAACTGAGTTTTGACTTAATTTTTGTACGAATAGTCTTATTAAATTTTGTGCAAATCTGTTTCAAGTGCATGGACAAACATCATGACAAGATTCCTCAAAACTCCGACCTTAAAACAATTCAAATGTCCATAAAGTTCAAGCAGTTTCAAATCCAAACATTCGGCAAGGCCCATTTTAAAAGAGACTGTAACATCACTAAATGAAACTATTTAGCATTCACATTCAAGATGAGTGAACAAATCAAAGGCAGCAGAAATGAGACATACAAGAAAAAATTGTGACGAAACCTTCCCCCGTAAATCCCTCGTTAACCCTTACAGCGCTACCCACTTTTATACTAGTGCACCTGCCTCTGCTCGTGTGTCCAGTGCTACGCACTATTACAGAGGCATCGACACATAACCTTCCTTATCGCATCATCATTCAACTCAGATCAATCAGAGTACTGAAGTAACATAATTTGACATCTGTGGAGAGATGGGAGAACCTTTTAGTGGCACAGTAATATTTCCTTGTCTCAAATGTAGGGTGAATTCTGCGTCTGAAAAACAGCCTTGTCAGTTGGAAATGGTAATAAATATGGCAGATAAATAAGTGACAGCAGTAGATAAAAAATGTCTACAAGCCTTCACAATCAGATTTACAGTTGTAAGATAAGAAAAATGTATTAACCTTTACGGTACAGGACGGCTGGTCTTGATCTGGTAGCTAAGTGAAAAATCTCTTAGACCTGCCAGGATTCAAACCCTCGTTGCCCAGCCTGCAGTTTAGTAACTATACTTACTGTGCTATCCTGGCTCCTATACAAAAGATCTAAAGTAGTAAGAAATAATCAGCACACAGCATTAGAGAAGATAATAGGAATGTAGCATATAAAAGTTTAATATACTACATCTGCCTGCTACAGTGACTGTATTTACTGAATCATCACCTCTGATGATATTGATGTTCTCCAAGGTAGGTCCAATAAGAGGTTCATCTTGGTCGTCGCTAAAAGGATGTGGTGCAACATATCGAGGATGCAAGAAACGTGGTCGCCAGCCACTACGCCAAGATGCTTCTCCTGGACTGACTGGGTATCGCCATGTGTCACCTAGGTATCGAAGTGGAGACTGAGCCTGTTGGATAAACGGGCTTCTCAAGTTAGGAGGCGGATGTGGCGGTGGCGACTGGGGCCTCTGTCGGGACTGCGACTGGTTCAAGATTGAGGTGTCGGGGATAAGGACGTCATTCACTTGAACGAGGGGCACCGTGAAGGCATCAAGTTGCTGCTGCTGCTGCTGCTGATGTTGATGTTGATGAGGTTGTTGAGGGTGCTGTTGCGGTTCTTGTTGCGGTTGTCGATCATGATTTTGTTGACATGCTGAAGCAGGCATCAATATAAAAGGAACATTATTTTCAACTCTCACTACAATACGTGGTGGTGATCTTATTTCAGGAGAGTTTGTTGCAGCTGGTTCTTCATAATTTAATGAATTGCGACCTGCTTCCCTTGATGAATATGATGGTGAATGAATTCCAGCACTCTGAGTATGTGGTGAAATATGAATTCCATCATCTCTAGAGTATGACAATAAATGAACTCCAATGCTGTCCCGGCGAGGTACGGCTCCTCTCACAAGCAGCCGGCTGCTGCCTCGGCAAATTCGGGCCGACGCGGGGATACCAGTGTGAGACCCGTGCCTCGAATAACAGTTTATAATTCTTGGTCCCAACCTTCTAGTGCTTTCACCCCGATTCACGCCCGTACCCACGCTTGTACCTGGCACATTATCTAGCTGTTCCGTCACATCTGACTCGTTGAGAGGATGATGCCTGTATCGCAGCTGTCTTCCATATGCAGACATTCTCAAACTGTCTGGCTGTTCAGACAGTGGTCTCGCGTAAGGTTGCCCCAATCTCCGAGTCTCTTGCTCATCGTCTCTGGATGGCAACCTTCCACTGCCCCTTCGTGACTGCTGCTGACCCGCTGCTGTTGCAGCATCCAAAGCAACTGGGCTGCGGAGGCGATGAGCCCACTGATGTTCTAATTCTCGCCTGTAATCCCAGAAAACACGACCAAAGCCATGTTCAAAGATAATATGATCAGCCAAGATAATCAAGAAGAAATAATGCCAATTTCAGTTGAAGTGCAAAATTTGAACCATTAAGAAATACTAGAATGAGCCAATATTTGGTCTTCATTATGGTCTTATAATATGAAGGCGAAAAGGACAAGTCATAAAAATATGTATAAACATTCTCACAACCTTCATCATTACAAAAACATGTATATTTATCATGTACACAACTCTGACAAGACACATACTGGTGGCATATGACAGTGAAGCCAGCCAGTTAGGAGAGCAGACGAAAGAGATAATCGGCACTGTACATAAAATTTATGAGGAGAAAAGCAGGTAGTACACTATTAGAACACACATGAAGTGGAAGACACTTAATACAATAAAAAATTCAACCAGTCATAAAATACAAATAAATCATCAAACTAATGAGAAACATGTACGAATAAAAGAAACAGAAAAACTTAAAAGTGGCTGTCTTCTGGATGTTGCACCATGCAGTCCTGTAGATACCCACTAATGTTTCAGAACAGCTCACTACCCTGACGATGAAGGCACCAAGCTCCTCTGAAACATCAGTGAGTATCTACCGGACTTCACGCTGTTAACATACCAGAATACTGTTTGTTTATTTGTGGTCCATTATAAATTTTTACAAAATGCAGCAAAACAGATTCGTATTGCTGAAACTTTTATAGTAACCAGAAATATCGTAATGGCGGCAGCTTCTCTACTGACTGCAAGCCTTGTCCTTCCTCCTCACGAAAAGAATGAAACCAACTAGCAGATGGGTTACAAAGAACAGTAGTCGTTAGAAAACGTGGGTTTGCAGCTGCCAAAGAAACAGAACATACGTTTACATGCGTGAAGTGTACATTCAAACATAAACCCACAGGGGCACGGATCATGGGGAGAAATGACAAATGGTATCAAATTATGCAGATCGAACCAACTGCTAATATATAGTTGGAGAAGCATGGTATTAATGAGAAATGTCTATGGTATTACATACAATATTATTTGATAAAGACAAATTTTCCATAACTTTCCTTTCAGTTCTAGGATTATGACTTCAAAACGCACAAGGTAACATCGTACTACACACGACATGCAACTCACCTTGTTGTAAGAAGCTGGGCTAGTAACAGATCTGTCAGTTCTAAAGCTAGTTGCAGTAGAATATACAAATCTGTAATAAGAAAGAATGAGCATGAAATGTACAAGGGGCAGGAGTTGGCAGTATTAGCCGCATAAATTACTATTTCCAGTCCAGCTGCTACTAAACTAAATTCACATGGATGCTCCATTCTGCTGATGTTTCTCGCTAAGAACAGACATGAAACACTCTCCCACCCCATTACTTTGCATGACCACAATGTTAATATTATTGATGGCAGAGAATTTAGTAGTATAAACAAATTCCCAAGAAGAGCTTCGTCGAGTATTTCAAAACATGATAACGAGATGTGAAGTTGCCTGCAAGCACAAGGAAGTCACTTTGAACATCCTTTGTGATTTAAGGTAAGAACAATTAATGTAATAACATGTATCAGTGACGAGAAATATTCGTAGTTTGCTGTTACTAGCGGCACTGAAACTGATTCGCCGGTCACCCACCGGAAGAACGCGCACGACTCCCGCAGACATCAACAGAGCGCCAGCCGACCACACAATGCAAGCACGACCGCAGCCTCATAAATTGTAGACCCGGTACTTTAAATTATCATGGGCAAGAAACACTTTCATACATGAAGAATTATCTTATTCATGACCATAACCACTCAAACAAATAATACAGTGTTTAAAATAAAAACAATTAGAAATTTATGTTAATTATTACCTGTCTCAATACATAGTTCTAATATCTAAATACACTTTTATACACAAACTACAACGAGGTTAATTAATTATAATCAACTGCAAAACCTGCAAATGTTTTTTACCTATGTTATAAATCATACACAACAAAGAGATTTCATTTTTACTTGAAACATACGAAAGGGTCTGAACATGTTGTTAATAACTTAGCTCTGCAATATTTAATTCAGTCTTAAGTAGAACATTATTTAAATACGCTGCCTTACACTTTCACCAGTAAATTTCTTACAAATATTTCATTCAATTATGAAAATACACAAGACTTACTATATATCTGCTCATCCAACACGGCACGTGACGTATTATTTGAAAGACCATTTTCTTCAAAGAACTGTGTCAGACTTTCAACCATCAAACTTAGAACTTGTCTGAAACGAAAAATAAAGTATTACAAAATCTGAGGCTTTAGAGACCTAGGGAATTCTTGCAGCACACTCGAAAATGTAATAATTGCAGAAAATCCTAGTAATAAGCACATAAGTTACACAAAGTTCTGTACTCTTCAACTGCGTCATGTGCAAATCAGCTTTAATATGATCCTGCAAGTTCTGAAGCATTTGCAATAACACAAGACCAACTTAAGCATACATATTGCATTTACAGAGTCATAGGTTGTTCTCAACCTCACTATAAAGGATTCTCTTACCGCGCCCTCAGACGTGTAGTTACGCGAGTCCATTCCCAGTCTTCATCAAGCGGGCCTGAAGAACCTCGACGTCGTGAACCAAACGTGGAACTACTATTTGTTTCATTTTCAAGTGCCATTCTAGGAGGAACAAAACTATTTCAGTTTTTAAACATTTTACATATTGTGTATCCGAAATGAATACCACAGTACAGCAAATCATACTGGGATTTTAAAATATTATTAAAATAGCCAACAGAACTGGAAACTGTATCCCAAGCTACACTTCAGGTTAAGGTAATATGGTGGAAATACATGCATTACAAATGTTTGCTGACGAAAATTCATACTACAAGTGTACAACAGCGCAAGTAGAGTAATTAACAGGTTCTTCCTACGGTGTCTACAGTACAAACCTCAAACAATCTGTTCCACACACTACTTACATCAGTCTTTCTTCTGCAGACAGTCGCCTCCACGACTGACGTCTTTCACTCTCAGGGTTGCTATCTGCAATAATTTTACAGCACATTAAAACACTGTCTTGAAGCAAATGTAAAAATGACATCAAAACACATGGCAACACTAACCACTGTCACTGCCAGAATTGGCATCAGCCCTGAACCAGAGGTGTCTGTCACGCAACTCCCACACGTTCATTTGCTGACGTCCTCTCCCAGCGAAACTTTCCCGATGGACCGATTCTCGCTGCTCCCTCTGCTGTCTTACAAGTGCCTCCAGACGTGCAATCATTGCACGGAGAGACTGTAATATAAAATCAATACGTTAAGCAAGAACCAAATGTATTTGCTCTCTGGGTTACCCAACCACAAATTTTATACACATTTCACATCTCTCCCACTGCTAGAAGCCCTGACAAGCTCATCCTTCAAGATTTGACAATCTTAATAATATTTTAAGATGACTGTATTCTGGGATGACAATTTTTTTAGATTTGGTAAAAAGTGAAAATTATGAAGCTCCTCATTACGCAATTTTCTCCAGCGTCACATCACTTCATTCCCCTACAACTTCGATCTGTGTTCTGTCTTACTGTGAAGGGCCACGTTTTTTCACAAGCATTATGTATCAACAACAGCTGAAATTAGTTATTTTATTTCCACATTTTAATTTTTACATTTTTAGATACCAGATGGCAAAGGGGGGGGGGGGGGGGGGGAGACAGATTTCAAACTGCGGGGCAGCAAGCAGCATTTCTCAGATAGTGACATAAACCAATAATAAGGAACATATTTCACTGGGTTGTCTCTTAGCTCACCATTCACGTAGATAAAAATGTGGAATTATTTTCAAGTTATTTATTGTAAACATATATGCCTAGAGCTCGTAAAAAAATGTTCTTGTGCAGGTATGCGTGGGAGTGGCAAATTTTTATGTTCCTACGTAACATAATAAGTTCAAGACCCTACCACCAGAATACAGCCGTAGTTACGAAAACAGCACAAGTGACGTGGTGTGACATGCATGCATCAGAGGTATATAAAAATGTTAGTACAATACAGCAAAGCAGTATTTTATCTGTTAACACTAATAAAACTGATTCTTGTTCTCACCAAAAGTGCACAGTATTTTTCAGATTTGATATTTAGAAAAACTCCCCACAGACCCCCACCCACTTCTTCCATCAAGCGCTAAAGATCTAAAAGCAAAGCAAGTGAATGAGTGCACAGTATATAGTTAGCGACCTCCAGCATGAAGGAATACCTCAGAAGTAGTACGTTCATGCTGGGAGCTGCATCGTTTCTGCTCAGAGCCATCAGGACAGACAGCTCCAGTACTGGGCCCCGCGCGATTATCTGCCTTCCTCTTTGTGCCAAGAGGTGTTGCACTGGGCCTATCCTTGCTTGTTCCTGCTCCACAAGCAGGTGTCTCTTGACTAGACGTGCCATGGCTAACGGACAGCCACCTGCTCGGACCAGGTTGGACATCACTCTGACTAGATGTGTCAAGTCCTGGTCTATTTGCACTTTGCAGAAAAGCTTCATCTGGAGGAGACATTTGGGGTGACACTGTACTTTGTGAAGAGGCATCAACTGGACTACTATTAGCCTGTTCAAAGCTGCCGCTGCCACTGCCATTACTTCCACCTTCCTCAGGTGAGCATGACTGGGTAGTCTCAACCTACACCAAGATGCAAAAATCCCTTACTTTTTCAGAATTCACAAAACTTTTTATAATAAATTAACACCTTAAAATTGACAAAAGATTTTCCATACATACTCAGTACCCTACTAAAATACAGGACAATTAATTTATCTCAAATTTGATTAACACAATTTTCAATCCAAATGACAGAAGCTCCACCGATTCCAACTTGTCACACAATTTCGATGAGACAAACTTTTCCACACGCTTTCTTAAACATTTCGGAGCTCAACTTCCACTTTACGTTCTCTATTATTTGACAAACCGTCACATCACAGCTTTGCTTGTGATATAAATGAAAAACTGAAATACGAAAATTAAATCAAATACACAGGCACCTAGTACAAACAGCTGAAATTTCAACACATTATGTGTTCAACTTGTGATGGCATAACTCACGGTAAAATATGAAAAACGACTTCCCTGTCAACAAGACACTCTATCAAGTCCATGCGTGACTGTGCAGTCATCATGAAACAGGGTCACAGTTTGCATCTAGTATCACTAATACCTGCCACTATCAGTAGTATCTGAGCCACTTAAGTTTACTTTCATTACACCAGGTTACTCCTTGTCTAATATAATGGAAGCACGGTGATGAGGAAGAGACAGAAAATGCAACAACCTGTGCTGAGCTCCTGACGCCTTGCACAGATGTCCTCAACTGCTGAGTTCGAAGAGCTGACTGCATGAACCATGGTCTCCTTCCAGATTCATGTTGTCTATAATTATATGGAACAAATGCAGCAAACAATTTGTACAAAGTTTATAAATTATACACATTATAATTCCCTGAAAATTTAATACACTGATGAACTCTTAAAACAGTTTCTAAAAATTTATAATTTGTAGTACAAATTACATTCTTGAAGATGGCATAAATTCTTTAGTAGACACAAATCTCAGCAGTAATGATTAGATTAAACACAGAAGCAGAATCAAACGTGTTTAAAAATAACAAGTTCCACCCATGTCAATAAGTTTGAGATTAGTCTTGACAAGCGGATCTGACAAAGTAGGCTGTTGTCCTCTCGCCAATCACCTGAAGACAAAGGAGAACCAACAACTTCTGAAATGTTGTGGGTTCAAAAACACTCTCATGACAGAGAGGTCCAAAGAAAGATTCATTACATTGACCGACAACTGAGAAAGAACAATACTGTAGCGTGCTATACACTTGCAAAACCGCTCTATCCATAAAACTGAAAGGGTTAAGTTGGATTATGGGAAATAGGCTGTAGTCACGTCAACTGATCTGAATTAACTCAGGAATTCTCAAATAATTGGTAACCAACCTTCAGTTTCAGTACGTTATGTAAGGCAAATAAAAGTAATTTCAGTCTCTCCACACATCACATGGCACACAACCTTTACCCTTACCAGTATTTTAATTTGATCACAGAAATGAGACCCATACAAGGTTTTTAAATCTGCCTGTATCATTTACTTACTGTCCAGGAAATGTTTGTAGGAAAACACGAATGTTGATTTGGTTATGTTTCAAATTAATTAATTTTTTATTAAGGCAGAAAAAATATTAACCAAATCTACAAATGATCTTTCCAAATCAGTTCAGCAGTGATATTATAATGATCAATTGAAATGTACGGATGTTGTATAAATCACTACATATTTCAAAGTTTCTCACCTGAAAATAGTTGTAGAATTCTTGTGCGATACCGCACCGCTGCTGCTCAGTTGACGAGCCACGGTCCTAGATCTTGGTCCCAGAGCCAAGAGCCTTGGCCTCCTCAGATACACTCGCCGACTAACACGCAACAACCGCTGAAAGTGGGAACTAGCTATAGAAGATGCAGCAGAGTTTGCCAGTGGAGTCGTGTTACCAGTGATACTGGTTGACGAAGGGGCGGCCGCTGAAGAATCCGACGGGTGTCGACACCAGCTACTGGATGGCTGATGTCCTGAAGATTCATGCTGCATGGTATCTGGGTCCATTGCGGAGGAGGATGCGACTGTTGTGGCGGTGGTTATAGTCGGAACAATGGGAGCGCTGCTGTTGCCACCTGAACATGTATCTTGCACAGGTATAGAACTATCTGAGTGAACAGATCTGCTACTTGAACTCATTTCTTCTCCCTGCTTCTTGTTGCAAGGTGAACCTGTATCACCACATCCATCAGTTACACTAGATATACCCGGAGAATTTGTTACATTTTCAATTTTTATAATATCTTGTCTGCAAATTGAATCAGATGTCCTGCTACTGACAGCACTTTCTGCAGAATCAGGCTGAAAGGAAGGCCCCTCTGCAGAGCTCCTGTGATCGTCAGAGGTAACTGATTTGGCACTTTGTGAAACTGTCAGCACTCCGTCAGAAGCCTTGAATTTCTTGCTCTCTGTGGCAGGAGTGTTGACAGGTTGAGCAGTATCTTTGCTTGTTGTAGTAACAATATTTCTTGACGTGACCGCCGCATTATTCTTTGAGGTTTCTCCCTCCTTCCTAGCGCCATCTCTTTTGTTCATCATAAATTTAAGTCTTGTCAAAGCTACAAACTTCGCATGCAGTCGAGTAAGCGTTCCTTGATTTGATGGAGGCTGATCACTTGCGGTAACAGGGTTTTCACAAACTGCACTGCCACCACCAGATGACGCAGGAGTTTGAGAGACACTTGAAGGAGGGCTTACATCACTGATGCGAGCCAATTCCTCCAGCATCTGACTCATGCTAGGAATATGTGGTCCCTGCTCTGTGGCACCAGGGCCCAACTGACGCTCTCTCCAGGTGTTTAGTATAAATTGTGAATCACTACTCAACCCTGAATTGTCATTTGGATGAGAATAAAGTCTAAACCTACGTCTACTTCTGTCTTGTGAGTCTCTCATTGCAAAAGTACTCTCCCTCACAGCCACATGCAGAGACCTAATCTGTTGCTGCAGATCCTCCCACATGCGGCGAATATGTTGCAGCTGCAGGATCTCTAAACGAGCCCTGCAAAGCCTCTGCATGTTGTCAATGTGTGTACTGAGCAACTGAATGCCATATCTCACACCTACATCTGACGTGCTGTCAAGCCCTCGGGATGGCGGACATTCTCCATTACCATCCTGAAAGCTCTGCGAATGACACGCGCCACTCAGACGTCTCTGTAAAAAAAAACCACGTCTCGGGGTCTGATTCCCCGACGGCAGTCTAGAACCGAGTCGAGATTCGGAATTCGTCTGCTGGGACCCTCTCGGAATTCTCGGTTTAAAAGCAGAACGCTGGGAAACAAAGAACCTGCGAGGTCGCTCTGGGGGACACGGAGAAGAAGGTGGAGCTTCAGAATGCAGTCTAGACGACACATCGTGCTGTTCCGAAGAAAGGGAAGATTCTGTAACAAGAGGCTGGGCCTGGCAAAAGATAAATTAAAAACAAATTAAAGTCAGTTACAAACAATTTGTAGAAGAACATGGAAACTATAACTTTAAACTAATTATAAGGTGGGGAAGACAACGACACTGTGTTTCAATAAACTTAGTGCTCAAAGTTCTATCAACATGTAAAACATCATCTACCTACACAACACATCCAAATCCCAGTAGAATGTTTCTTGGGTTCAGGGTGGGGGTAGACTTGAGTTTTCCACTGAATAACATGAATGAAATGTAACACTAATGTAACTGGACTGGAACCATTCTGACATTTTAATGTAAAGAGAGTAAAGATAAAATTACCGCTGCATCTTGATTTTGGTGATATCTTCGTGAACAAGTGTCAGAAGTATAAGTAGACAGGACAGGTCTTGTTGGACTCGGGCCACTTGTCATTTGCACTCTGCTTTGGTTATCTGCTGGGCCAGTTACGCTGTCTGGCGAAATCAGCTGCTGTTCAGACAAGTTTCTTATTCGTTCAGTATCTGTGGCAGATGAGGATGGTACAGCAGTCTGTTCACCGAACTCCTGAGGTGGTCCATGTCCTGTTACAGATGAGGCTGACTTTGCAACATCATGGCACTCTGCTCCTGACCTAGAAAGTACGTCTTCACGTTTTAATACCGACTCCATTGCGTTCAAGTTTTGGGCAGTCCTTTGCGATACATTCCTCGTCTCTGCTGATGGCCCATCACTGGCCCCCGGCCTTGAACCATTGTCATTACTTCCAGAAGTAGTGTCAGTAATAGTAGTAGTAGTAGTAGTAGTAGTACTGCCACCTGCACTTGCAGCACCAATGCTACTGTCATGTATTACGAATCTGCTCGTGCCTCGTTCTGTCTGAGATTGTGACTGTGCCCCAGATCGCAGACCTGGAGGTAATGATTCAGACAGATCCATTGGGTCTGTGCCTCGATCCATCTGATACACACAACAGAATATATTAACACACTAAATATTACCATACTAATACATGTAGGTGGGCAGAACTGGATAATTAATATTTTTTAAGCAGGAACTAAAACTAGGAACAATATTTGTTTTTAAAGAAGCGTCCATATTCATTCCAATATGTAATAATGCAAATACTGTTTTAAAGAGGCTTGCATAGGTTATTATATAAACACAGTTACAAATTTCCAGACACTATGATGAGTACTGTACCTTAACACAACGGCAAAAGGACAGAAGTATTCAGTGACACTGCAACATTTCCCATTCTTCACAGTTTCTCATGTGAAATGGAAACACCTGAAGTCATTCTGCATACATTTTATCTTTACTTTTAACCAAGGAAGCAATCCTGATAATATTTAGGTTTATTTTCTGGATTCTCTAAGTAAATAGCAGCAAGAAAAATGTGTTGATGTTGGTCTTCCAGGTTGCAGCACCATTTGGACTTGTATGTAGAATCCAACATTTTGGAGGAACATAATGTCTTCATCTTAAGAGCTGAATGTTCCAGCAAAATGGTATCTATCTACAAGTCTACACGGCATTATAATCTGGAAGACCAACGCTGACATCTTCCCCGTGAGAATCCAAATTCTCAAATGGTGAGTAACTCTAATGTGATTTTTCATAACCCAACATAATAAATTAATGACTATATGCATTGTTAATGCATAGGTGGTGTGACTGAGAACCCAGAGACTTACAAATTGCAAATTATAGTAGGGAAGAACTAAAAACACATATTTGAGATGAGTTCCCACTGGAAGACGGGAAAGGTTCCGTCAAAAGCGTTCTCATGAACTTCGTTTTGTACACTTACTGTAGGAGTTCTGGCGCGTGACAGATCATAGTAGCGCTGGACTAGCTGCTCGTACTGTTCTACGAGCGAACGGTAGCACACGGTTATCCGACGGTCCTGCTCTGGTGGCACTACAACTGAATGAGGGTGAGAATCATGTGATGTAGATGCAAGACTTGACCCCGGACGAGGTGGAGCTGCTACCCGATCCCACTGGGTATGGTTGTGGGGAGCGTTGGAGATTCCAGTGATGAGTTTATGTCCAAGAGGATCAAATGCCACATACCTAAAGAAAATACATGGACGTAGCCAACCTACTACGTATTTTACACAGTGGAAACCCCACTTATGGTTCAATGATGATGGTCCTACTACATGAGCCTAAACTTAAATTCAATTTGCTACTGGTACTAGTTAGAAAGTTGAAAACGTCCCAGTTCACCTTGCATGAACGTTCCATCAACTTCCGTCCAGGAAATGGTCTTTCAACCTCTTTATGTGATAACTGCCATGATAATGAAGGCATCAAGCACCTCTGAAACGTCAGTAAACTTCAGTCACAATACATGTTGCAACAGCCCAGAAGACAGCCATCTTCATCCTCACTGCCATGAGAACCTCAAATCAAACTTCCTTTTGATCAATGGAGAGATCGATTCCAGGATGAAAGTTGAAGAAACACACTTTATAAGTCAAAAATCCAACTAATTCAGGAAGAAGAAAATTGTTGTTCTTAATATTATTAATTTTCCACATCTAACTTCTTTGTCCTATATTATTGTATTTTTGTCACATTTTCTGTGTTCTGTAACAAAGCAATACTTTTTTGGCCTATAATGTAGATGAAGCAGATGTAAAAAATAAATTAACAGCTTTATATTCTTGAATGACGCTTAGACAGAGAATGAAGAGTATTTCATAAATTTAAAATTTTTAGTATACTGCCTTACAAAGGTCGTGAACATATGAACATAACAAATCATTAACAAACAATGTTATTCAGCTGAAACCAAATTACCTACCTAACTTTCTCCTTTTCATTTGAAGTGTAGCACTTTGTGAATGGAATTGGTTGACTCCAGTCCCAAAAATGCAGCTCGTTGTATGTGGCGATGACCAACATTCGATCAGTGGGATGGAATGCAAGGGACGCAATCACAGTCTGGCTTTCCGCAGTCCATATCTCACTGCCACCCTGCAAAACGAGGCCAATGGACTGCACTGCTCTAATTATGGAACTTCCCGTACTCTGCGACGCAGACTCGTTAATTCCTTATGCGGGGAGGGAAGGAAAGATAAAAGTAGTTGGAAAAGCAGAGCAAGGTGCAACCTGTACCGGAATACACACGTGTTCTTTGCAAATTCTGAATTCTGAATACTCCTAGTTCAGATACCACACATACCACGCGAGCATTACCGTAAGCATTGTCTACAAGGGCACATGGCATGACATCCATACCAAATTTCATCTAAATCTGCCCGGCAGCTGAGCTGAATCATGCAGACGTGGCAAACCCTGGATGCATTTATTTCATGCACTCAGTGCAAAAACGCATAAAGACTATATCAAATCTAAAACTTCTTGACGATGGTGAAGAGTCAATTGAATAAAAATTTACTTGGATATTATCCATCGTCTAGTAAATATAAAACGTAAAACGACGTTTCGGAGATGGGACTCTATCTCCGTCTTCAGGTTCCTACACAGTTGGGCCCACTAGATAGAGCTAATCCCTATCTCCGGACCATACTGCATAAAGAGTAGTATAGAAAAGTTCTGCGGCAAAATACTCACTGTCAGTTACCATGAAAATTTATTGATGTACAGTCACAAAGAATTTTTACAGTTGCACTATTGGATTTCTGACTGGTCTCTCATTTGTCTAGAACAATCCTACTTTGTAGTTTATTTACTTCAGGCAGTATGTCTACACTTGCTACTGTCACCACACCAAAACTCTGGACATTCAACAAACTGACCCTCATTTTCCCTTTGAGAGGCTAAAACTCACTGACCTCTGCAAAACATCGTAAGTCTAACTACAACTGTATACTTACATGCAGATCCCAAACTCTCACTTGACCCCCAAGACAGCCTGATGCAAGGATCTGATTTGAAGAAGGGTGAAAAGCAATACACCACGGTGTTCGTGGGTGACCTGATAATGTGTTTACATTCTTGCCCGTATTTAGATCAGTCACGTACACATTATGGTTTCCGTGTGTTGAAGCCACTTTTGTTCTAAGACGAAAGAAAACAGTACAAAATACTTTAAGCTGCCTCACAGCTTTTTACGAGGCGCGTCCTCAAAGTAAGTTTCCCACTCGTCCCACAGCTAGCAAACCTTATATTGCGCGAAGCAACTGTGCGTACGTGATAGAGCAATGACGTAGCATGGCGCATGCACTAACGGCACCTCCTGCGTTCTCACAGTAGCATCGTTGCAGCTGTTGAAGATGGAGGTTCTTATTCCAGCTCCCGCCGACTGTGAAGTGCGGTCAGTGATAACGCTAGGCCGCACACGGCTCGACGGACAGCAAGTCTCCTGCAGGAGTTCAGCTGGGAGGTGTTTAATCATTCACCCTACAGCCCGGACCTCGCTCCCAGTGATTTCCATCTTTTCCTACACCTCAAGAAATTCCTGTCCGGTCAGCGTCAGCGTTTTGAGAATGACAGAGAGGCGGAGATGGTTGTCACACAGTGGTTCCAATCCCAGGCGGCAGACTTCTACGACACAGTTGGTCCCACGGTATGACCAATGTCTCAATTCCGGTGGCGAATATGTTGAAAAATAGCTGGACACTTGCTGTATCTGTTGCAATAAATATTTCCATGAAATTGTGTTTTGTTTCTGTAAACGGCCCCAGGGAAACTTACTTTGAGGACGCGCCTCGTAGATACCAGCAAACTCTATAATGGTAAGTAATATGTGAGCCATTACCAAACACAGTAAATGCAACTGGATTCAATTGAATTTTAAATACTGTAGCTAAAATTCAAGGCACTACAGATGGTTTCTTACCTGAATAGGTTTCATTTAACACAAAACTTATTGGTGTTATTTTTACAACTAACACCGGAGAGTTATCTACATAGCTGGCAGAAACAAAATGGCAAGGCGATGTATCAGACTCGACTATAACGCTTAATACTACGTCCATGTTGACAGAGATGTTGGCAGATGGTTGGCTGGGAGGAATGGCATTTTAGTAAAGGTCTCTTTGAAATAAAGTATGGAATTTCTGTTCCAAGGGTTTTGTGGGTGCAGTGTGAGGGAGGCAGTCTTCAAAACGGTGTTGTATTGGGGTTTGACTACACATGGCTTAACTCACCTCTATGTAAAATAGACTTATAGCAAGTCTACAAGTTTACACGTTGTCACTATCAACAAGAAGAACGATTGCTTCCAAACGTGAACACTGTTAACAGCAATTAATGCAGGAGCATTTTCAGTCATGAAATGGTGGCTAAGTACTTGATAAGTAGTTATAAAGACAGGAACAGCATAGAAATGAAGCGTAAAGTGATCATATAACATACCCATCTGGGCTAAAAACCATAAGGAACGTTGACCGTGAAACATCAGGCAGTTCACAAAACTGAAACAAAAATCACCAATTACAAAAAGGAAATCCATATTATGATAATATAAGTACACTCAAGCAACGGTGGCATACCAGTTCTTCATGATTCTTAAGGACCAGTTGATCTTCAGCAGCTAGCTGGAATTCAGTGGACACTCTACCCTGCTTCTCCTTAAATCCCACTTCTCGATGCAAGAGTCCTCTTGGCACACTTCTGTTAGTTTTTGGCAATGACTTCACTATATCAGGTGCTTTACTGCTTCTTTCATCCATCGGTATGAACTGCAACAGTTAGTAATTGTAAGAATCTTCCACTTCACTTCTTTACGTATTGTTTGTGTTACCTCACTTTTCAAGTACATGTCTACACAAAAGCATTTGTTTTTTAAATTACCAGCATATCGAACGAGAAAATGTAAAGCTAACACAGCATCATGGACACATGCCGTGTCAGTGCACATTACTCCAACCAGCTACCGCACACAGTGCTAGTGGCTTCTACCAGCTACTGAATTGCGCCATGAGGCACTTATAGTTTCTGCAATGTTCCTAAATGTAACCACACAGTCTTGGCTCCCCTCAAATGGTATGGAAGGAGAGAAATTTTCTCAAACAGTGCGAGCTGTAGGCTGACAAGGTGTAAGTCAAGAACAAATAATGCACAGCTGACCTGCATAGTGCATGATGTGTACTGAAGACAGATACCTGGACCAGAAGAGGAGTATGAGGGGAATGCTTAAAAAAGTGAGGAGTCTGGACAGTAACAATGAAGATGGTGATTTATAAACTATAATAACTGCAATCACGAAAATGACTGATGTAATAACAGGAAGTGGTAGCACAACCCGCAAGTCTAACACCAACAACACCAAAGCCTACCATCGGCCACTATCCTGAGCCAACTCCATCCTTTCACCATCCTCAACAAACGAAAACAACAGCAGAGCCTAGGAATAGGATGAACTGTATGGATTTACGGTACAAACGACGTATAAAGGCCTTGAAAATTGGTAGGTGGAATGTGAGGAGTTTGTGGGTTGAGAGGATGAAGGATCTAATGTAACAAAATTCTGACTCCCATCACATATAAATGTTATAGTAAATGGTATTATAAATATTACGATTCTATTAATTTCTTTAAATATCAATATTTGTCAGAAAAATAATAATATCACAACATATCGTACTCAAAAAAGGCTGCAATCAGAAACAAACTCCGGCTTGCCTGCAACAATTTGCATATGGTTCCCGACAGTCAGGCATAGACTAGCCAATATAACACTTCAAGGCTGCTTAATTCGTATGGTATGTATACCTTATATTGATAAGTCGACGATGTAGAATGCAAGTTCTGCTAACATATTCTCGAACATGCACTATTGCCTATAAGTCACAACGAAGCCATATTGAATATTACACCAATCACCGTGCGGCCGGTCGGTCAAACATGTTTAGGCACTCCCACGATATACCTTTCCGACTGACGTTATATGAATGCTGTAAGTTTCCCACGATGACAAACGTCATTTACAAAATAAATCATGACGTCCTTTCGTGGACAGTAATTGGTTTTACTTTAAAACATTTTAATAAATAGGCAGTAGTGCCTAACATATACACATATATGACTCCCTTTCCAGAGGTACAACTTATAAACATACCTAACCTGAAAGGTGAGTTGGGGACGTGTCACTTACATCAGACATAACATTTTCCCAATCCAAATACACATGGACAACAAGTGCACGTTTCTGAAGGGAAATAATAAAAAATTGACGTGATAGCTAGAAAAGATATAATCAAATCTACCAACATCACGAACACCTTCGAAAATAATGACCCCTGTGTTGGCACAGATTACCAAACCAGCATGTTAATGTCGCTCAACTATGATGTAATCGATGCCCGGAAGATGGCAGAAGTATTAGCAGTGATTCTGTTTCACATATGGCATAATATGAAACTCATGATGCCTATACCAATGGCCATATATCCGTCTCCTCGTGCAATCAATATAGGTTTATACATGCCTATAATACCGAAGGCGGCTTTCGTGATGCATTTACCATTGGCTATACAGATGAATATAATCCTCACTAAATAGCAGTCTGACATTGTGCCAGTATCAGGAAATATCAGAATGTCTCTTTGTGTCATTATCACACACCAGAGGACTGGATCAATTGATGCCTCTCATAATTCCTATATTAATGGATATACAGGCGCAATTCCTCATGCCCATTGTGCTGTCTATATACATGCCTCTCGTTGTGGTTGTACTGTCGTTAAAGATGTCAGATGCATCCAAAAGCCCACAGCAATGCAGTTTCTCGGAGGGAATTTTGGGGTGACCCTTGACACCGGGCTCACCTGGTGTTCAACAAGCCAGCCAAGGCTGTCCCTAAAAGACGGCCAAGTTGGTGCTACGAGTGTCTAACTACTCAGAGGTTTTCCGTGCTTTTCCTCATTTGTAAGGCAAATACCAGGGTATAATTCAAAAGGGACATGGCCCATATTCCCCAGTTATGGAGGTCTTCAGCTGAGGTGAGAGATGAGCATTGCATACAAAACCTGTCTGGATCACCTGAATGGAACAGACCACTCACAAGATCAAGGCATACAGTCTTACAAGAAATATGGATGGCAGCCAAGGATCCATTCATCTGGCTCAGGATACAGACGTGGTGGCATCCTCTGAACATGATGGGGAATTTCTTGATTAGTTCAGCATACAATTAGGTTAAGAAGGCTAAAAGGAAGTTGTTCCACTGATTAGTCAATTATTTGATACTGGGGAGTTTTAAAAAAATTTAAAGTTCTGATTTTGCTTGAAATTTAACAATGATGGAAATTTAACATAAAGACTTAAAAACAATTTCCTCTCAGGCCACCTGATAGCAGTTTACATCAGTCAACACAGAACAGTTATAAAACTTTCAGAATAAACTATATGAATGTGTCAAAATCAGATTTTTGTTCCCCACACAGCAGCACAGTACCAAAGACAGGGTTTTATATTGTGTATAAAATAGGAGATTAAAATTTTTGTGCTGTATGTAATCTTTTCTCAGAAAACATACAGGAACCATGTAATAAATCACAGACCATCATTACTTAGCTCTATGCTGTATATATTTATACAAATAAACAGTTTAAAACAAAACATGGTAAAGAAAATTTGTTTCACTATTACATCTTTTCACCTGTATTTCAAATATTTTATTAAGCTATATATTAAATTTTAAGTGTAATGATGTCCACACCATATAGATATTCAGACAGAGGATGAAAAGGTAATACAGGTGTATGTATGTTTGTATGAGACTTGCATTTTTGATAATTCTGTAATCTCCCTTCGCAGCCTTTAAATACATAAAAAATGCAAATAACATGATAAATTAAAACTTAAATACAAATAAAACAGAAATAAATTACTCCATGTTAACAAAAAGCAAATATGCTTCTAGAACAGTTATTGGCGTTCTTTGTAACGCCTGTACTTGATGTAGTACACAGCTTGAGAGTGGCAAGCCGAAGAAACGTCCCTCGAGCCGCTTGCTTCGTTTCAGATCCCCTACGATACAGTTCATTAAGGTCTTACCACAGTTTGTATTGCCATAAACTGAAGTGTTACATTATGAAACAATAAATAGCACCTTTCATATCAGCCACTCTCAAGTTATGAATACTGGTAAATCAAAACCAACACAAAGCCACAGGAAACGTGATAGAGCTGTAGACTAATAAAAGTATACATACATAAAAAAAGATTTTGATAGTTCAGGCACACAAATAAACCCTATAATATTTATTTCATACTTCATTTCATGCTTTCATGAGCACAACACTGCTGAAAATTCATCATTAGTTTACAATGATGGAAGATAGGCAATTGAGATTAAGAAAAACTATCGATACAGAAAAATCGAAGTGAACGAACCCCACAACAGAGCTTCAGCTGACTGGCACTAACATTTCCAGGAGCATTTCATGTCAAAGCAGATGGGATCTCAATTTTGAACTACAATTTTCTTCTACATGATATTCACTTAACCAAGTTATTAATAAATATACAGTGTAGCAATCACTGTATGCAAATTATTTATCATTATGGTTACTACAGTCACAAATCAAACGGCATTGCAGTTTATGATCCAATGGGAACATAACCATTATAAAGATACTTTTACACAAATATATTAAATTAAAAAATTGCTAGGCAATTATATTTTTAACTCTTTTGAAATGGATACTCCCATTTTAACTTGTACTTGATAATAATTAAATACTAAAATGAAACATACCTTAGCAAGCAAGTAAACTCCACCAGACTCGACCATCATTTAAAAGACATTGATATTTACAGTTAATTTAAGTACGTTATCATGTGGGGTCATTACAATAAATAAAGGGGGGAAAAATCCAAATTTTTGTTACAAGGCAGTAAAAAGAGAACTAAAATACTGTGGAGTATGTACAGTCTACCTTAATGAAACACACACTTTGTGACCTGCTGTTTCTAATCTCTTGAATTATGGTCCAAACCATTCTCCCTCCTATTTCCACCAAGCATCTTGCACAAAACACTACTGATTATTTATTATTTAGTCATTCAATGGATACAATACTGCAACCACCTAACCTAACTTTCCACATGGCAAGCAGTGAGAGGAGATTGAGACATGACGCTACACTGCAGGATATATAGTGGAGATATGGCCTTCTTCATCCCACACTTTTCTTTCTTCAGGTTACAAAAGTTTGTCGCATATCCTACACAGGCATCTGGCCGCCTATCAAATTACATGGAATAAAGTTTTTGCAACTACAGATATTATGCATGTACTTCTTCATCATGACTGCTTTTGCTTTAACTTATAAAACTGAACAACTGTGTCTGCCCTTCTCCCACTATTAATGTATGAAATCAAACTTCTCTTGAAACAACTTGTTCAAATTGACTATAGTTATTGACAACGTAAGAGAAGCTTCACAAATGGTTGATTTTTGCAACATGCAAATGAGCAACTTGTATTGCCAACTACTGCAGTGATTGTCTAACTGTCATAACTAGAAGAACCATGATCGTGACCGGGGCTCGGTGGTGTACTAGGATTGCTGCTGTTATTGGACGCTATCGAATGCCGCGGACTGCCACCACTCACACACTGGTCCTGAAACAGCAAATGAGGAAAGAGGCTTGCTTCAATAATGGGTCTTCAGGACTTTTTCGTTTTTAGAGAAATCGGCCCACAAGCCGATCATTACTACTTCTGCATAGTCCAGGCTGCTGTGGAGAATTTTCTGACAGCTTATGAACCTTTTTCAATGTCTGGTAGGACTCCTTGAACTGGGGATTGGCCCATCATAAAGCCTGTATGTATCCAGGACAGCGCACTATTAAATGATGCAGATACACATCCATGTCTTGAGTGGGATTCAAACCTTTGTTCCCAATGTATGAACAGCCAAAACCCACACCACAGACTGCGTGGCCACTGTGACTAGCAGCTCCACCTTAATAATATGTCAAACACCCACACTCCCTACTACTGCTTCAAATGTTTGAAGTTCTTGATCAGGTAACATTTAATTCAAGGAACAAGAAATCCGTTCTATACTAACTCACAGTGGTCACAAATTGGAAATCACCTCATTTACCAGTCTTACTGCCTGAGCGTCAGTTCACGTGCATGGTTCCTTATACCAGTAGCTACGTTGGAGGTATCCACGTTACATACTCAGAGTTGCCTTGCAAAGAAACTATTTGTTTCACAAATAATACAGAAAAACTGCTACTCACCTTACAAACTTCATGTAATGATGGCACACTGCCCAAATTCAAGGAAGGATGGTGATGAGATCCTGAAGTTTCAGAGTCTACTGGTGGACCATCTGGAGATCTTGGGAGTGAAGGAGGAGTGACAGCGGGTCGAGAGGGGGCAGCTGAACGACGTTGAGATGCAGACCCTAAAATAAAGTGTGCATACAATGCAATATAAAATTAGCTTCTTCCCTTAGCATCATTGCTTCATGGCTGTGCTGCGAGTCCGTTGTAACTGAAACATCTCTTGTTGCGTATCGAATTCACTCGTAATAAATGTTTCATAATTATTACAACACAAATCCATCTTAAATTTGAAGTCACTATAACATATGCAAAAAAATAATGGATTTATAAAGATAAATAGTGTGTTCATAAATTTTCACAATTCTTTTGATTGCAATGTAATATCTTAATTAGTTTCTTTAAATATTGCCATTTTAACTAAAGGAGCAACAGAAATAAAAAAAATTAATTGCAACTACGTAATTGTGTACAGGACATTTAAACTTAGCCTGTCAGTACTTACTGTACCATTACTCAGTGTGTCTTCAAGGGGCTTAGATTCAATAAGAACTTCTACTGGACACACCGAGTGTCAAGTGCAATCTGCACTGGCTCTTTGCACAGATACAGCAACATACCATTGTGCCCTGAA